GTATAATGTATGCTATACGAAGTTATTACGTGCGCATATGCGCGCGTACGATATTAAAGATAGCAGGAGAACGCGGAGCTATTGCGCTTGTGTTATGAAATCATTCCCGGCGGCCTTGCCTCGCGAAAGTTCATTACCATCAACCGCACACGCTCCGATGAACACCTGGCACCGCAGCCGGCCTCTAGTGTATTGCGTGCACGAAATTCTGCATTACGCATCCCTCCAAGGTCGCGGTTTCCTTCACCGCACGTTCGCCGCATTCGCCGAGCGAGTCTCTTCGCATGCTGATGAAAAAGATGATGGAATAATTTTATCCTTTGTTGTGCGAGATGAAAAGACCCCCATCACGTCCGATGACGGGATTTTCCTCCACCTCGGGACTCATCCCGAGCGCGAAGCGCTCGGAAGTTACGCAACTCACTATCCGGCGGTTAATTTCGTCGAAAGAATTTCAGATTACCGGGGACGAGCCAAAGAAATCGATGCTATTCGTTTGCATGCGGCGCGACCGTTAATGTCAATGTCATGGATATCTGAAAGGTAATGTTGTAGAAACCTGGCCGACCGGTTCTGGCGTAATACGCGCCGCAGTGTTTCTAGCGTGGGGCACTCTTTCGAGGACAATCATAAATTGTATCCACCCAATCGCGGGATCGAGTTCATTACCATTTCCTACATTATGAGGCGAGTTCGCATGCCGTTAGGTCCGGTAATGAGAATGATTCCTGGACTCGTTTCCGATAAAGAAGCTCGAAATTCCCGGAGCGCGGGAATGTCTCACGGGCGTGTGTACGGGCGAGGATCCGGCGGACATTAAACGCGACATTTTACCGCGCGACGTTGTTTCAGATATCGCCCTTGGAAAATATGCCTCGGGAAAGCGGAAGAGTCATTTTCCAAAACAGATTAACGCGACCGATGTCACGCTGACGTTGCACCCACGCGTTCCGTTATACCCTTCGTCGGATGACCGCCGCTGACCTCAGCATCTCAGTAAGTAGTCAAGAAGGTACACACAGACGAGAAAGAGAGAGAGAGAGAGAGAGAGAGAGAGAGAGAGAGAGAAGAGAAGAGAGAAAGAGAGTGAAAGAGATGTAGAGAGAAGAGCTGAGAGGACAAGGGAGTGGAGTCCTCTTACGACGTACCGGTTACAACGGATCGTTTCTATACCCTCTTATTTCGCGCGAGCTCTTCCTCGTCTGAATTGGCGGCGCGGAATTTATTCGCGCTCGCTATCAAAAACGCATTAGGTCGAGTTACCTCAAAAACCCTCATTATTTTCGTGCCGCACTCTCGTGCACAGGACTCCACAATGAATACATACATCTCGGACGGGAGAGAGAAGGACTTGCGATTAATATGAATTCGATTTAATCGCGATATTGAGAGAAGAAAATTCGAATATTCTCCTCGGACGTATGGAAGTCCTTCGCCGGAGATTTATGGATCAGCTTGTATAAATACATCACGCGAGAGATATTTATTTAATACGCGCGTAACTGTACGCGGTCTCACGTCACATATATCTCGGCGGATTTTTGTACACCCCGAGCCGCGCGCTATGCCGTCCCGATTCTCCTCCGCGTGGCGCAACGCGGCGGGAGGAGAGAGAGAGAGAGAGAGAGAGTTTGATGATACTTGACGATAACGACACTTTGCCAGGCATTAAGCATAAATATGGAACGCCAGGGGTCAGGTGCGACTCGGTGGACGTAGACCGTAAGTTGCGAACGGTGAGATACGCGGTCAGTGACATCCCGATGCAGGCAGGCCGATTGACTGCTCCTCAGGGCTTACAGGTTTGACCAGAATTCAGCATTGCGTGGATGCAACCGCGAAGGAATCGCTACGCGCGGGAATCTGTGTGTCGAGATGCATTTTTTTTTTCCTTTGTCTAACCTCAAATTTAGATCATTTCCGGGCGAGACTTTCAAATTAGCTCCTCCGCTTACTAATGAAATAAATCTTTCGTCGTGCTTTCTTTCTTTTATTATTCTTTTTTTTTTCGACGTTGACATAAGGAATGATCTATATAAACTTTAAACGAGAAAGGCAAAGAAACGCGAGAATGTACAGAACTCACGAAGCGTGCATGTACCGATCAAATATTTACCCTAAGTTCCAGCCAAAAATTAAGCAATTACTTAGGAATTTCGATAATTACAATTATTTAGAATCCGCTTTGACGCATATAATACTTTGCCGACTGTTGTATTTTCGATCGTGTGTAATAACAAAATCACAATCGTGCAAATCGCCAATCAGATGTAACAATTTGATGCGAACACAAGAAATAACAAGTGGCGAGAGTTGCTCGTAATTTCCCGCTGTAATGCTATCCGATACATCAAGCGATTCCGATTATCTCGAAACGGCAGATCCGAGAGAAGAAAGTTACTGCTACGCGCGTGGTGATACAACACAACGGATAAACGTTTTTACAGTGAAAACCTGTTGCCTATCGAAGTCGGCAATGTTCCTGATTTCCTTTGAATGCGAGCGTCTCGCAAGTGCCCGGCTCTGTCCCGAAGAAGATACATAATCCAGTAAAACTTGTCCGTTGTCTGATGGATCGCCGGTGATCGAGCACGTCGATCTCGATCGTCCTTGCTGCCTGCTCGAGAAAAGCTCGAGAAGCAAAAAGGATACAAGCGCGCGCGAGAAAGAGTCACAGAATCGCCTAGCGATTTCCGAGGAAAAAAAAAAAAAAAAAAAAGAGAGGGGGAGAAGATACGCCGGGTGAGTCGCGGAATTCAATCGATCCCGTCCGTTTAACCACACCTGCTCTTCGCTGAAGCACCGACGGCCGATTGATGAAGGGAAGAGGCAAAACTGACGCATCCTCAATAAGCCTTCATTGACGATGCAACGTTTTTGCACGCCGTCGTGACCGTAGTATCATGCTTTTCCGAGAACGCTCCTCTATCGATCGATCGATCGATCGTCGTGAGCGCCGATATGTGCGAAATAGGTTCGTCTTCTTTGTGTTCTCTCCGACCACAAGATATGAAATTACTTTCTCGGATAACGAATTACAAGAGCGATGAGTTTTTTCTCTCTCGATCTCGGGATGCATTTTGCGGTCGATTGCGACGCAGTTTATCTATGTTTTTCTTTCGACAAAAAAAAAAAAAAAAAAAATTGTGACACGAGCGACGATAATTTCAGTGTCATTTCAACTGGATCGCCGCGTTCCGATATCCGTACCGGGATTCGATAGGTCCAGACGTACCGTTTGAAACCCGCTCGACGCAAAGGGAAGGAGTTCACGTGATACTTCGCGGAACGAGGCTCACGATAGGAAGGAGGCGACCGATCGCCTGAAGGCGACCCGAGAGTAGTTGAAGAACGAATATGGTGTGCCAAGTCCATGGGAAAGCACCTTGGGCCCCGACACGACCGGTGCCAGAGGTGAGCATTATGAGGTAATGCTCTCCCCGTCGCCAGAGAGGGAGGGAGACACGCGGATAGGTTCGACGGCCTGACAGAACGTGGCTCGCTCATTCAAACATTGGCCGGCCGACTCTGCGTTAGTCACACCAGACGGTACAAGAAAGACGATCGCGGAAGTGTTCGTCCCGTCTCTCGACTCTGGTTTTCAGAAATTAATTTCAACTCATGGCGCACACAATGCACGCTCGATTTAGGCCTTTCTATCGCGTCTCCTTTATAATCTCGAGAAATGACGCGGCACTTAAGTCCATCTATCGCGAGAGACCTTAATAGAATCGCTCCTTTTCTGTCTTAAAAAAATATACACTCCATCATAAATACTTGCAAAAATATTTGAGTTGCGAAAAAACATTCCTCGTATTTATTACTTTTACTCTCCTCCGGTCTCTCTTACCGCAATATTCAGCTTCTTACCGGCGTTTCGCAGAATGTAAAAAGGATAAACACAAGATCGGCGGTAGCAAAAACGTATTTTTACGATTCCAGCGTATTTTGCTACATTTATGACAGGATACGCATCGACTTGTAGCATGCCGCAAGTAGAAATAATCCGATCCCGTCTTCGGGTGAGCGAAAATATTTCTTGCCCGTCTGCCTCCTATTTCCTCGTGGGAGTCCGCGCGTTCACGGTCTCTCTATCAAATAAATGGCTCACGTTTTGTACGGTGGCTCAAGCGTGTCCGAGGCGTTGAAGCCAGTCGAAAGAAAAGGAGATAGAAGCGCATCGAGGCATTTCTGCAAAAACTCACCAGAATGCGTGGATCGTGACGCCAGCAGTAGGACGGCGGCCAGCCAGAGGATAATCCCGCGTCTACAAAGCGCGGCGTTCAACGCCGACATGTCGGCACTCTTCTTCCGTACCCTGCAACACGTAAATGATGCTTTCGTTAGCTTGTATTATCCGTGCGCGAACGCAAACTAAGCTCCGATCTCTTGCGCGGCCACATCAGAGTCATCACAATATAAAATAATCCAGTCTTTACAAAATTTATTAAACAGATAAAACCAAATGATATTGTTTGATGATTAATTAATAATACGGGGCATCTCCACAAAAATGTTTTCATTTAAATTTCATTAAAATTCGCTTCGTTTAATCAAGCATTTGATAGTCATCAATTGCTAACGAACGATATTAAAGTATCTCAATGTAAACATCAATGGCGCCTGATTCATTATGTCACAAATGCGATTGTTCCGGACCGCTCAAGCCGGAGTTTAAATCTACTCAGACAGCTTTGCGAATTTTTTTCACCTTATCTGCATACGCGTGAAAGTATAACGAGCTATTGTACGCTTATCTATTCCATCATGACGCAGCTCAAAGCTATGTCTATCTCGTCACGTGGCATTCTACCACGTAACTGATGCCGTGATCTAACAGCTGTGCGGGCACGGTAGCCGCGCTTGGAATCGAGCCAGATGCACTTTTGCACTTTGACCGATCTTTTCTTCTTTTTTTTTAATGAATTTATGTACCGTGCACGAAGCGACCTCATTCACCACTGAATATAATATATTAACTGAATTGTCCATCGCGCTGTCTATTTATAGCCGGCACCACGAGGCGTCTCTAGAAAGAGTTGGTCGATTAAATTCTAGCGCGGGAGAGTTAATCAGCGCTGGTAGAATCAGCCCGAGGTACAATGTATCATCGTGTCAGAGTCAAGGCGCGAAATTTGCAACGCGAGAAAACATCTGACGCATTCGCGTCGCGGCAGGAGGCTAAATGCGATTCGTCCGTCTACCTGGAGCGTGAGCCGGCGTTGAGAGGCGTGGGTGCGTGGGAATGAGCACGCGTGTTTGCTCAACCCTCCTCCATTCGTGTCGCTGGCCAGCGCGAATGGTTCAGAGCCCGCTGGCCCGATAAGGAGAAGGGCGCGCGAAAAAGCGCGAGCAACAAAAAGTTTGCAATAAACCGCTTAATTTTTAAGCAAGGGCCATAAAATTGACCAACGGCGCGTTTACGTTCCCTTCGTTCCGGAGCGCGGGAAAAGGAAGGAAGGAACGAAGGAAGGAAGGAAGGAAGGAAGGAAGGGGGTAACCGACGATCGTATCTGCGGGTTCCTGACCGAAAGAAATTACTTAGAAGCACTGACTTAGCCGGTAAATGCGATAGGAGGAGGAGGAGATGGCGGAAAAATAAGAATTCTCCGGACAGGAAGAAAAGGAGGACTTTGGCGAAGCCGGCGGCGCATACCAACCGCGCGACAGCGGCCTAATACAAAGCGGTACCGAGATAAAAGAGAGAAGTGCGCAAGCGCGCGTATGTAGTTTCTCTTCTACCTGTCGACTTCATCTTTTCCCCTACGTATATTCCTCTGCTGCCACTCTTCCCCTGGCAACATCCACCGGCAGCTCATTGTAGTTCAGAGGAGGAGATGGCGAAGAAGAAGAAGAAGAGAGAAGAGAGAAGAAGAAGAAGAAGAAGAGGAAGAGAGAGA